TTTTTAAAATCCTGGATTTGTGTGTAGTCATAACTTTTCTGCCCCTAAGCTTTCAAGGTCATGGAAGTTACCTTCAAGCGTGTACTGAGGAGTAGAAGTGAGTGCATTGTAAAGCTGTTTGTTCATAATAAACATTCATGATCAATTTTGTACTTTCTTTGGGACTGTTTTTGGGAAAGGAATCACTGGGAAGAAGTCTACCTGGATATATATGGACCAGAAAGCAAAAGCTATGGCGAAGCTGCATCTCTCCCAGATTTATATTTTTTTTTTTCTTCCCTCAAGTTAGTTTGGTATCCCTTTATTTGTGGTAAAACACCTCCAGGAAGACCTACACGTAGTAAGTTGAGATCTTTTGTTTGAAAATGCAGTTTCTTTACAGAGAGGTATTTGTTCTACAACTGCATAAATGTCTCGACTGTCATTGTAGTGCAGTACCTTTTTCAGTACTTACTCAGAGACATGTAGGAGCCACTCTAAGATGCTGTTACGAGGTTTGTGCCAACAGTGATGATTTCTCTGAAGAAAAATAGTAGATTGGAACCGTGCTACTAACTCAGCAGTTGCTGTTTGAGTACAGTTTGACTTCATTCTGCTGCTATTCCCTTAACATCTGGACAGCTGGGTCTGTGTTATCTCGACAGCTTCAGTTATCTGCGTGTCTAGATAGCTTCCGATCTGTGTGAAGCAGTAAATGTTACTCAGAGGCTGTCTTCACTTCTGACTTTCAGAATCTGACCTTGGGCTGGCATTCCAGTTGTGTGTGTGGATCCAAAACACAGTTGAACTCCATTGTGAAGACTTGGTGCTTTTCGTTTTGTCGATTGCCCTGCTTCAGGGTTTTTTTAGTGCTTGTGTTAGTAAGGAGCTAGCCAGGTGAGGATTCCATGTTGCTGTGTTTCAGGTCCATGTAGTCATAGAAGATTCTTGCCAAGAGGACAGATGGGAAGTGGGAAACTCTCCCGTATACGGAAGGCCAAAGAAATGAAAAGCTGCTTGTCCACCTCATGGTTTCTCCAACTTGCCTTAAATATATAAGCAGTCAGCAAGTGACAAATTGCCTTTTTTCAGAAGAGCAAGCTCATAATTTTTAATTAAATTATTACCTTTAAGTCCTGTGCTTCAAAAGGTATTTTTTGAATGTCTCTTGATTGAATAATTTCTGCTAATAATTTGTTGCTGTTAGCGGGTTAGATTGCAACCCGGTCACAGGAAGACAAACACCTGTACACGATGATACTTTTTTTGCTGCCCAGCAAAGGTGAGATTTTAAAGCAGAAAAATCATGTTTTCAGTGGAAAAATCACCTACAAACACAAAAGGGAGGCTGTTGAAAATGAACTCAAAACATTCACGTCTCATGTTATTGAAAAGACTTTTCTGGGCAATGAATGAGAATGATGTGGAACGAATGACCAGGAACCTTTTAGTAGTGGTAAAAGCTTTGTCCCAACAGCGTTATTTCATACCTCGGTCACTGAAGAGTGCTGCAAGAGAAACCTTCGGAGTTGCGGCTGATGTTTCCGTGTTTTGCCAAGTGTCTCTGTGTTCCCGTGGATTTGCCGCGAGATGGCGTAGCGATCCCGCGTGGGACGGGGCCGTGCTGGGTGGGGAATGTGGGCAGGAGCCGAAGGGAGAGGGTCCCCGAAACGTGGGGTACGGGCAGCTCCGCGGGGGGATTTTGCAGAAGACAACTGAAGTGGCCAGAAGCTCTTGGTCTGTCTTCCCAAAGCTGCGCTTTTGTCTGCTGGTTTGTTCTAACAGCTTTTGTGTATTAACCCGATCAAAAAGCTTGAGTTTGTATTGGATTAGTGTTGGGAAATTTTAGATTTAAATCTAAGGCATCTGTCATAGGAGTACTCTAGACCTTTGTCTGCTATGAAGCAGGATGGGGGCTGTGTCAGGGAATGTGCCACCTTCTATAGTGGCTTAAAAAAAAAAAAATCACTATCTGCATCAAGGCTTAGGAGTTGTTCAATGTATCTACAGTGGGCAACTCTGGGAAAATCCTAGCTTTTGACCTCTCGCTCTCCAGCTTTACACACATTTCCTACAGTGCTTGCAAACACTGAATTTGGGTTCTTGCGCACAATTTTGAAGTGTAAACGTGGCTTCTTACATCATCTTGCCTACTGCAAAACTTTCCTCATACAGAATTGGTATTGTTACATTCTTAACAATTTCTGTTATTGCTACAATGATGCTGAGCTCAGAGGAGAAACTTTATTTTCAGTCACTTTGAGATCTTTCGTTTGCTGCGCTGTTAAGTGCAACATTGGCCTTTTTTTTTCTTGCAAATGCAGGTTTAATGTTGTTCATGCGTTAGCATCACTCAGGTGCTTTGGAACTGCTGCAACTGGGACGTGAGAACAGTAGCAGCAAGGTGTGTGGTTTTCTACAGATAATACAAATGTGAAATTGAAAGTTGGAGGAAGGTTAACAACTGTTCTGACACTTGTTCAGCCCAATGTAGAGAAAAGTATACAGCTGGCAGTTAGCTGCACTCAGTTTGTCCTTCTGTGGACCATCAAGTAACTTCGCCTTACAATTGCAAATGTAGTTAGGATTCATCTCCCCCAAATTTGGGGATATAGCTTTGGGATTTGGCTCTCGGGATGGGAAAGGAGATGTTGCAGGCAGACAGATGCAGTCTGTACTGGCAGACCAAAAAAGCGATTGCCCCATTCCAGCCTTGAATGTCATTTCTTGCCATGGTGTGTGGATCTGTCAAGCTGTTTAGCTGCAATATGACAGATTGTCCTATTAATGTGTCATCAAGTGCACTTTTACAAATTCATGGCTTGTCTACAACTAACCTGAAAAAAGAGGCTTAAGTATGAGAAGGCGCCAAAGAAAGTTAAATATTATTAACAAATAAAGTCTGCCACGTAGTTTTGATGGAATGTGAGCTAGTTGGGGGAGGGGTGATATGCTGTTAACCGTTTAGCTTCTGTGTTCTTACTCTCACTCTCTTGTCTTTCCCAAGCTCCATTTCTCTCCAAAGATGCTGTAAAGAAAAAAAGAAAAAAAAAAAAATCTGTATTCTATGTCTTGCTTTTGCACTTGAGTTGTTCATGCCTCGGTTTCTGAGCCATAGGTAATAGAGCTGTTGCTCCTGATCCACCCTGGCTGCCTCTAAAGTCTGATGAAGATCTGTGCTGGCATTACTACTTGGATTACAGAAGGCATGGTGAAGGGACTGTTAAAGCAAATCTGTTCCTTGCTGACTGCATAAGGGGCTTCAGATTATGTGATCTTCAACCTTTTGTCATTCTTGGACTCTCTTATGGTACAAACTCAGAGCAATTTTTGCATCACTCTCCGTGTTTGTATAAAGAATAGGAATATTGGTTCTAGGTGCTGGGGACCTGACAAAGATTTGCAGACTGTCCAAGAACTTCAAGGTCTCTCTTACAAGATGCTTATAGGAGATGTGTAACTTTTGATTTTCTGTTATTATTAATAAGCAGCCCACCTTCCTGCAGAGAAATCAGAAAGCCCCCACTGAGCCAGCTTGCAATGAGAGCTAGGGGAAATGTTGTATGGCACACAGCTAACTGGAGCATAAAGCAGGAGTTCTGATGGATCAATGTGTGGTGCGATGCTCAGTGCATATTCCAAGCCACATATTTTTAGCTCTACCACACACTCGTGTACAGTTTTACAAACTTCCCAGAAAAATGGTGATTTCTCTGAGATAATGAAGGGGAGGTACAGAATAGGGCTGAGGGGAGGGAGCAGGGAGCGGGCATTGGTTTAAATCTGCCTGGCACACGGGCCAGCTCCACTTATCAGTGAGTCTAATAGGAATGTGAAGAGAATAGGCTTGACAGCTCATTAGAATGTGATCCCTCCTCCTTTTTTATTTTTTTATTTTTTTTATTTTCCCCTTTCTTGAAGTTGATGGAAACTAATTCAGGAAAGAAGTACTTATTTGCTGAGGTAAAGCAAAAGCTGAGGAAGGTTTTGCCAGTGTGCAGCTGGGGAAAGGAGCAGCAAGAAAAATCAGACCTGATCTACACTCAGAGGTTCCTGAGATCCTGCCTCGTTTGAGGGGAGATGAGGATGAAAAGGACATGTGATTCTACATCCTGACAGCTGCTTGTGGCATCGGGACTAACTGCGCATCGTCTCATTAAAGAAAAGTGAAGATAAACCCAGCTAAAGAGGGAGAGAAGCTAGACTTGGGACAACTTTATCTGCTCCTAATGGACCTAGGTACATCTTCAGATTCTTTGCTTCTCCCTGTTTTAACTTTTATGATATGAGAAATTTATTTTCTCCTTAGAAGGCTGAGCACTTGGCTGAGCTGTGATGCTCGCAGCCTCTTCAGAAGAGCAGTGGCTGTAGCAACCTTGGGTTACAGTTCCCCAGCATCTTGAAAGGAAAGGATGAGGACTTGTCACTGAGGAAGAGGAGGTATCATTCACGAGAGAATGGATGGAACATATTCAAGCCTGCTTTGAACTGAACACAATGCTTCAAATGACAGAAAGTGAAATCTCCTGTTGAAGAGAAACAACCTAACGACTCCCCTAATGAGTTTGTGTTGTCAGCTCCAGCTTGAGCAACTGTTGCCCTGAGCAATTTGACTTCTCTAGGTTTCATAGTTGAGTGCATTTTAAACGAGTCTGAAGACTTATTGTGGGGGGGGAGCGACACTTCAAGGTGGGTGGCAGGACTTTCCAGGGCCCCTTGTATTTATGTAAGCTTCAAGGGGCTGAATGGACTTACCTCTTTCTTCGAGTGAATCCAGATTTTTAAACAAGTTTATCTATACCATTTCCATGTGTCCTGCTCGATCTCTCCAGCAACCAGCGCATCCATGCATACTGCTCATTTGACGTTGCATAGCCCAGAGGATCATCTTTAATAGTTCTAACCTTTTTAATTTTTATTTTTTTTTTTTAGAGAGAAGTCTGTGTCTGTTCCTATTATTGGTGGTGAAAGTTTTTGTGCTTGGAGAGTTCTGTTCCTGACTTGGCCCCTCCCTTTTCAAAATGAAGGGGTGCACCTGGGTATTTGTGGCAACTTTACTTTGTCAGCAGTTTTGCCTCTTCAGAGTTACGGCAGCAAAGAGAGAGAGAAAGATGAAGAAAGAACCTAATCAGTATACAGAGCCTTTCAATGCTACCCTCTCAAACAGTGAAGAACTGCACGGGCATCCCAAGGTAGGTGTTTCTGTGTTGTCAGCACTTGGTAAAACTTATTTCTGGCAATAACAATCTTGCCAAATTCTATTTAATTTTAAAGAGAAATGTTCTCTCTTTTGCTTTTGCATGATTGATTTTCTAGCTTACTGAAGCAAACACTGGAATACTGCGCTTTATAATTTATTTTAGAATCCGCACGACTGAAGTTCCTGTCCCATATTAGCTGACTAAAATGTAAAGACATTCTGGAGTCCTAGTGTATGACCAGCTATCCTGTTCAGAAACAACTGATTAAACAAAGGCAAGTGGGCTATTGCAGTACAATAGAGATACTGGAATATTAATGTATCTCTTGCAGGCAAACCCTTTACTCTCTGGAATGTTATTTCAAAACTGTCTTAGGCAACAGTATAAACACCTGAGCATGCCTGAGCTTTCTCTGTGCTGCACCTTCTCCCAGAGAGGCTGCGGTGATTGAAAATTACAGATGAGAAATGTTTTTGTGCAGTCAGATGATCTGTTTAAGGTGATTGTGGCTTTTGTAGGAAAGGATTCAGGATGGTGGTAATAGCGCAGAAGTGGCAAGTGTGTGTGTATGATGCCTGGGTGGCTGTAGCTGAATTGCTAGGTTGAGTGAGTGAATTTTGCAGAGTGTTTGGGAGAATCACCCCAGGCTGAAAGCCACAAAAAAATTCCAGTCCATTGACAGAGCCCCCACAATCCCATAAGATGAAAATTTGCATAGAATGCTTGAGAGTAGGAGAGGGAGTTAGGGAATTAAAAGCGGGTCCTAGGATTGGGAGCAGGATGAAATGGAAGAGAGACCACAACCCTGAGAAAGGAGAGAGTCTCCCCTGTCACACAGCCCCTCTTCTCTCTCTCTCCCCCCCCCCACTCACACAAAAATGTCCCTTGTTCAAATGGAGGTGACCTCTAAAACATGACTTTGATCACAGGCATTAGGGATGGCAGTCACTATAGCAATAGAGGAACAAACCAGTCAAAAATTGGGGCATGGCAGAGGGGGCAAGTTGGAACAATTGGGCTGACATCCTAAATATCCTGTTCAATGCTATTGTGAGAGTAATTGGTTAAGGTTGGACAAGTCTGGGAAACAGCCCTCTATATAAAAAAAGCTGGCTGCTGCACTTAAAATTATCATTAGGGGTCTGTAAGCAGTGTTTCTGCAGCTAGTTTTTCGGTTGTGTGTTGCAGGGCTGTGTCAGGACAGGTTGTATACATGCTAAATTCTTGAGGTGCTTATAATCAATCACTTTCTTCTTCTCTCTCTAGAACTGCTTCATTCTGCTTTTGCAGAAGGGGCCAGATACCTATCTGGTGCAACTAAATTTGAGTCTATTCTGGAATTAATTTGGCTTGATGTGAAGCATATCGGACCACAAGCAGAATATATTCTAATTCCAAAAGCAAGCAGAAATAGTTGTATAGTCGTACATACGTTATCGCTCGACGAAATACAGTGCTCGTTCGGAGGCTGGTGGGCATTCATTAAAACAGACATTGTTTGGAAGCTGCAGTTTCTGTGTTGAAATACTTTGCTTTAAAATATCCATGGCAAAAGCTTGGCTGCAGTGAGAGCTGGCAAGTTCACTGAAGGCGGGTTCTGTTTAAGGATAGGACGAAACCAAATCTTTGATGTAAATGCTTATGAGCTCTGCTTGATATCCCCTCCCAAATTTTGCAATGCAAACTTTTCTCCTTGGAATCTATTTGAGGTTGAAGTCCAGGCTCTAGTTCAGTATTCTTTCTAAATGTTGTGGGTGACTCTATTGTATTTTATATTTATATAGCACCAGCCCAAGCTAAGGGGATTATTTTACACATACTATAAGTGCAGTACTTATTGCCATGATTTCTGGGGAAAATGACAGTTGCCATTCACAGCAAAGCATCACAATTTGTATTCACTAAGGGAAGAAGTAAAGTACTAGTGAAGCTATCCCTACCTAACCTATCAAGCTAGAGGAAGGTTGAAAACAGTTCTCTATGGAAGACTGATCTCTTTGGTCCTTGAAGGTACTTCTGTGAGCAGTTTTGTTTCATGAAAGGATGCCCTGCACAGCAAAGTGAAACAGCAGGAGTGTCCCATTTCATTTCTCTACAGCACATAACAGGAAAGATGGAATTATTTTTGGCCTTGTACAGTAAAAATTAAGGCTGTGTTTACCTTGGAAGACTCTGTGGCCAGCTGGTAGTTTTATGAAAGCAGGAGCAGGGAATGAAATGCTAGCTGAGAGTAGTAGGTTTTTATTCATACTGTTGAAGAGGTAGATGTGTTTTCCTTCTAATGAAGCAAAACAATTTGGGACAAATTTCTCTTGGGAATTCTTTTCAAGTAGGAGTGGAGAAAGCTCCCCTTTAGCATTCACAGAGCATGACTCATGTGGTGAAACCTCTGCCTAAAACAGGGAAGCAGAAGTCTCAAATCTCCTGACAAACCTGATATTTCCCAGGAAATAGTAAGTGTGTTGGGTTTCAAATTTATTTTTTTTTTAAAGTTATCCTCAAGTCTTATCTTTGCTGAGTTGCTGTCAACATGATGTGCTTGCCAAGCATGGGAGAGTTTTCTTCTCTGACACAGATGGACTAAGAGAGCAGAACACGACTGATGGATACAGAGGTTTTAATCTCCTGGACGTTCTCACTGTGACTGTGTGTGGCTGAGTACCTGCAGCCGCCACTTGCCAGGCTTACCTTCCCCTGGCCAAGCTTCTTTATTGTGAGGATGGTCAACCAGTGGAAAAGGCTGGACAGAGAGGCTGTGGAGTCTCCAGCCTTGGACACAGACAAAACCTGCACATAGTCCAGAGTAATCTGCTATAGTGTACCTGCTTGGAGCAGGGGCTGCTGAACTAGACAATCTGTGGGTGTCCTGAACAGCTTGAGCTGTTCTGCGAGCTGCTTTTAGGGGTAGTTCAGCTAAGCAACTCAAGGACAGCATCCTAACCTGGGGAAAATTATTGACTCAGTGTCCCAGTGAAATTTCACGGATTATTTGAGGTCAACAGAATTTTTACCTTCAGTCTAATTTCTACAAGAAATAGTGTAAAGTTTTTAATTTAGTTATCCACTATGGAGCCAAGAGGTCCTTTAAGTTTTATTTCCTTTGTGATCCTTCTGTCTCTGTCGAACATCTAGGGCTAGGTCTACCTGGTTTATTGCTTAAATCTCTCTGAATCATTTCTTTGGGGCCTTTTGCTTCCACTTGAAAACAGCAGCTGGTTCAATGACATTGCATAGATTGCATTCCTCCTCTGGAAAGAGATTTCAGTCTGAGCCTGAAGTGTGTGATTACATGTGTAATTGAGAAAAGTATTTTTGGGTCTTACAAGTATTAAAGCCATGAGAGAGACTGGACTGTGACCGATCTGTAATAGAAGACGTTATCTGTCATGTTGTGTATCTGTCATCGTTGTCAGTCTTGCTCTGGCATGTCATGAACAAGAAGGGCTATAAAAAATAACGTGCTTCCTGGCAATTCTTTGTGGCCCTGTAAAATAAAGTTGTATTCGTACATCTGACTCGGCATATCAAGTAATTCGGTGCTTGGTCTCATTCCTCAGAGCTGTTTGTGAGATTTTTTAAAGCTCCTTGTTTAAGTCTGTAGTCCTACATCAGAGGTAGTTGTGTGTGCTGGATGCATTGTTCTGTACCTGCTCTGTTGGTGCTGTTCGGTCCCTTAGGGTTTTGTGACATCCCTAAAGACAGAGCTCTGCTGGCACAGCCAGGGCTGGCACTGGTTAACATTGCAGTTACAAACACCATCTCTTTTTCTGACCCAGAGTAGCTCTTGCTCACATGAACTGTTCCATTAGATTCATTAAATTCATTAAGGGTGTGACCACTGGAGGCAGTTTGTGTTTACGCGGAGAGGCGAAGCTTTTTTGCGATAGCCAATTAAAGGAGCGAAGAATCATTTTTTCAATCACAAAACATAGTGGGAATTTACGTAGGAATTCCATTCCAGATTTGGCTGAGATAACAAACCTAACACTGCTGCTCTTGGGAGAGTTCTTGAGAGACCTGTAAAAACCACAAGTGGTCAGGACCTTGGTTTTACATCTCATTAATAACCAAGAGTGTGTATAACCATAAGGTTTTAGCAGCTGACATAGGATTTTTCATGCTAAAACAAAAGTGGTCTGTCACTTTTTGACCTGTTCCAAGTAAAGTACACTACTGAAATAAATAACGTGCTCCTAATTTCATAATGAAGCTGACAATACTCTTGCTGGTGTAAATCAGGTATAACAACATAGAAATTTGTGGATTAAGATAATTGAAATGCTTAGTCAGGTCCATTTTGTGTCTGGCAACTATTAAGCAAAGTTTTCTTAAATATGATTCCAGATGGACAAATGCTTAGATAACTGTTTGAGCAAAACTTGCAGCGCAGTAACTTCAGGAATCAAGACCGTGAACCGGAATGGTTAGGTGTATGTTCTTGGATGCACAGCTCTGACTAACTGCGGGGGAAAAGGATGCTGTCCTCTCGCAAAGCTGTAACCTTTCCATGCTTTCTTTCCATCCTGCCCCACTCTGAGAAATGCTTAGAGCCAGACTCTGAAACTACTTTTGTCCATTTCACGTTGGTTTTTAGCAGAGGTGCAGGCTGGATCCCAGTATCCCTGAATTTCAGGAAAGTTCGGATGCAGTTCAGAAATTTTTCAGGATCAAACTCTGCTGTTTATTATATTTATCTTATTTCTGATAGTATTTTCTCCTGTGCTGGCTGCTGGGCCAGGACGGTGTGTGTCCCTGGGCAGTGCGTGCGGTTCTGGGACTTGGAGCCAGGAAGAACCGCAGGCTCTGCTCGTGCACAGCAGCCTGAATTACAGCTCAACTTGTCTTTTATTGTGAGGGAAGGTAAGGAGAGAGCGGGCTGACTTCTCATCAGTGTCTTAAACTAATTCTGAACTGATAGATGCCGTTGTATTCTGATTCCAAAGTAACGTTAAAAGACTGGATTGAAAGTTCATTAAAACTTGCTGGCAAGGCTCCTGTTGATTTTGGAGGTACCGTTCAAGTGCTCAGGAGTAAGGCTGATTTCACTGGAGTTAACAGGAGGATTCCTCCTGGCTCCTGGAGGTTAGATTTGCTCTGTAAACAGCACCCCAGGAGGGACAGGTCCCCTCTGCCGGGATTCCAAGGCTGTTCTCAGTCCTGACTGATACCTGTGTTGGCTGCAAGGTCTCTCTGGCTCCTGGAGGCTGCTGCTGCCAAGAAAAATAGAGGCTTGCATGCTTATTGCTGGGATTGCTCATGCATGCCATAGTAATTAAATAATAATACCACAAGGATGGAACATTAATTTCAACTGTCAATCATCCTTGTGCTGGAGAAATCGGGGAGTGCCGTGACTGTCTTGTAGAGGGATTTGTAATTTAAGCAAGCCACTGGAGAGCTATGGGATTTTTTTGGTTTTTTTTTTTTTTTTTTAAGCTTCAGGAGTTTTAACGTATTTTTCTGGGATGTGCCATCTGGATTTCTTTTTTCTCCCTGACAAGATGTCTGCTCTGGCCTGTTTCTTCACAGCTGGAGCTCCAGAAAGGCTGAGAACATCTGTTTGTCTTCACAGTTAGTGGTCAGAGTCTGCCCATGATTGCTGACTTCTGCTTCTAGCTGGCCTGTTTCCTCATTTTTGCAGTGGAGGAGATAGATAACTTCTCTACAGCTACGATATACTTGCAGAACATAGGAATGGGCAAGGTAGTTAAACTTGCCAATGGACATCTTTTCTATGATCAAATGTGGACTTTGGTTTTCATTGTGAATTATTTTTTTTTTCCTGTGATTTGAAAGTTACGGAGCATTTCAAGGTTTTAATCTCCCTGTATTGCTTGATTAATCCAACTGATAAATGTCAGATGCCAGTGGTGAACGATCTCTGGCACCTGGGCAGGTTTTCAGTGGCGTGTGTTAGGGCTGTCAGAAGGCTGAGGGTCCCAGCAGCTTGAGAAAGCTGCTCTTGGCTCTTCCTGATGTCTTTACCAAAGGGAGCTGGGAGGCCCTGCAGGTGATAGCGTATTTAGGTTATGAGAAGGCATTTTGATATTCAAGGGCAGCATCTTCTGGTTTTTGGGACATTTCTACTGGCAGGCTTGGCGTATAACTTATGAAGAAAAAAAATCCCACTCTGATGGGACTCTCTGAAAGGCTGGTGTCCGTATGCTCTCAGAACTCAGACTGAAGTACTATCCTGTGTTTGCAATTCCCCTGTAAATGACAAAAAGTGGCATGGTACTGGATAATCCAAACTGAATTGCTTGTTACAGGCGTGTAAAATCCCGTTTTATTCCACCTTCAACATCCTCCCAAATACTGTATGTTTGGATCAAGGAGGTGGTTTAGGCAGCAGACAAGAGTCTGGTCTGGAAAGTTTGGATTCTCTGAATCCATGTAGTGGCCAAAGAGATGCAGTGATATTTGTTCTTGTTTCTCTTTAGATCCTAGAATCTCCAGATCCTCGAATCACAGATCCACGGCGGACCTGGATCTCCTTTGTTCACCGCCCAGATGATGGCAATACCTCTAAAAGAAGATGCAAAGGGAAAGACAAGAAATTAGTAGGTTATTGCTAAGTTGCCATCAGCTAATAAATGTGCACTGTGCCTTCCCTTCCTACAAGGTGTTTTGTATGCTCCGGCTTTTGCCTTCCCACCCCAGAGAGTGCTGCGTTTTCATTGGTTTGTGTTTAATTTCTCAAAGTATTTAGAAGTTTGAAACAGTAAGTGCTACATGCTTTGTAAGATAAGGTATCTGAATCCCACTGTCAACATTCGTTTTTGTTTAAACCAGCTGTTTCTTGGACTGAGCCTTTTTTGGTTTTTTACTTCTTGGGAACAATATACATCAAAATAGCATTGATGACACTGCTTCATGTTTATACTACTAGTTTAAAGCTCTAATGTGTGTGTGGCTGCCTGGAGAGTCAGTTTAAGATTTCCTGCATCAGGCCTGTAGTTGAAGTGATAGTGGAGGGGGGGATGCTCATGTGGCTGACAGCCCTTGTAGGACTGTCACAGCTGAGGGAATTTTTGGTCTGTCAGTCCAATTGCCTGGTTCTAATTCACATGTTTTTCTTTGGTTACTTCCTTAGCGTGGCCTTGTTGGCCCCCCAGGACCTCCTGGCCCCCAGGGACCTCCAGGAGCACCTGGTGCTGAAGTCACCCGAGAAGTCCTTCTGCAGGAATTTAAGGAGCTATTAAAAGGTAAAGACTGTAAGAGCTTTTGTCATCTGCTGCTTTTGGTAAGCATCATGGCAAATGAAGAAATGGCTTTGCAAACATTTACCTTAAAGCATTCCCCTATCTGGCAATCAAAAATTTGAAAAAATGTTTCCTCAGTACTGCTTAGTTTGAGTTGAAGAGTTGAGTGCAGAAGTCTAATGGCTCTTAAACTGAGCCTTTATTTTCCTGTGCTTTTTCTTTTCTCCTCAGAAGCCATTGAGCGTCGAGCATCCCTGGCTATTTCAGCCCATCCTAGCCAGCTGCCTCCACTGCTGCTCTCCTTGGAGGAAGTTTCACCCCAGAGACGTGTAGAGGAGGCATTCCATTGCAAGCTAAAAGGACAAGTCATCGTAGATAAGAAGACCCTGGTAGAACTTCAGAACTTCCAGTCGGTGAGAAGGGATTACAGACTGAACCTGTGCAGCTCCACAGTGGCCATTGTGCGTAGAGCAGCTCTAGTTCCCCTAGTCTGCAAAGCTGCTGGGTGGCTCTGTAGATAGAGGTGTTTCCTGAAAGGGCAGAATAATCCCAGAAGTTCATCTCAGGCTTGGATGCTATGAACATAGCACTACCTTTGTTGTGATTGACAGAAGTAGGATCTCCTATGGTGATTTCAGCACCGAAGCTCAACTGCAGTAAGATGGACATTTAGCTTTGAGTCCTTCCTGACAAACCCTAGAGACTTTCTTCCTTTCTTGCAGCCCAGCTGAATCTCATTACAGTTCCTACTGAAGTTCTAACAGGTCTGTGCAAGAGAGGGCTGTCTCACAGGTCCAAACAACCATCAGTCTTTTTATTTCAGTTAGTGATGGAGAAAGACCAGTTGCAAATAGGATCTGAAAATGTTAATCAAAGTAATAGCTAAAACCAAGTAGTTACTTGGTAATTGAGGAGACTTATTTTAGACTTTGGAATCACAAGGACTGTCTAATAGCACAAGACCTTCAGGTACATGGTTGTTTTTAAGAAGTTTGAAGAATATGAATAAGGAATATGGTCTTCCATCGTCAGGGTTTGCTAACACTGTCCATGTAGTAAGGTGCTGAGCCTTCTTCCCAGAGTCCCATTTCTGAAGAATCCTGTCCAGCAGATCCTTTCCTATGGAGCAGTTTTGCTGCTAGGACTTCTCACAGCTGCAGGACTAGAGGCAGTGGTTATGTTCTAAACAGGGTGCTTTCCTGGATCTTTCCCAAACACACTTGTGGAAGCCTGGTTTGACAGCACTGTGGGTGCTGGCACAGAGGCAAGATTGTACTTGAAGTGTGGGCAGGGCTAGAGAGATCTGCTGCCTCATTAATTAGGAGGGAAAATGTGAATAAAGACATCTCGGCAATCGGCGCGTAGGCTGATGTTTCCCATGCTTTGTTATCGTATGCCTAGCTTCTTTCTAATTGCTCCTGGCCCTGGAGCTGATGTGGGAGGGCTGGCAGGGCTCTGGATGCCAGCCTTTCATTTCAGCGTTGGGACAAGAAGTGTCTGGTTTTAGCTTGTGCTCTGATAGAGGGGAATTTAGCAGGGAGGGAGACAGTGGATGCCCTTGCAAAGATGAAAACATTGTCTTTAAACAGTTCAAGGGGGTGAGAGAGTGAGAATTCCCCTCCCTCCCTTCTATCAGTTTAATAGTGTGAAGAAGACAACAGTTTGATACTTCTCAGTGAGATGACAGGGATTGACTCTCATTCCCGGATTTGGACCTTACCCAAAGCATTCTGAGACAGTGGAAAGAACCTGTGCTGAGAAACAGCCTGTCGCTTCTATGCTCTGTCATTTGAGGATGGTGTCCAAGTCATTCTAACCTTGAGTATTGAGAGAGCATTTATTGCTGAATTTCTGGCTGGGTTATCCTGTTCTTTAATTCCAGATAAATCGATGCATTGCTTTCCAGAGTGTTTATCACTGAAAAGCTAAACTGGCTGTTCACAGCTCAATTCTTTGTGCACGGTTCCTATTTTCCACCCAGAAGTGAACTGTGGAGTGTATGAGGGAGACGTGGGGATAGGAGGTGAACTGAGGAAGAGAAGCTGACCTTGGTTTGTGCAGAATGGCTGGACGCTAACTTGTTTGTTTGCTTTTGGTCTGCTAACTGAAATAACTGTGTAAGTAGTTAGTTGCCCAGACAGAAACCCCTGCAGTGTTTGTAGCAGCTGGGTGAGTGTTCTGATGTGGGGCAGCAAATGCAGCAGGGAGCTCTAATTGGCATGAGGTTTAATGGAATATTTTGCCCAGAGAACCTCTCCCTACATTGTCTATTTCTGTGAGCAAAAGAATAACAAAGCCACAAAGGGCATGAAAAAACAGGAATGTTTTATCAGTGATAATTTACTGGTGCCTAAAATTGCCTTCCATGCTCAGTCAGTGGTTTGGGAATTATGTTGCTGATTCTGCTAATAGCTGTAACAAGAAAGGAATGAATTAACTATGCGTTGCAGTTTTGCACATACATCTGCTCTTTCAGTGAGGTAAATCAGAAATAGCATTACCAATGGTGTAGTGATAGGATAAGAACAGAATCAAGCTCCTTCCATAGTCTCTGTTAGGTTAGCTGTTATATTGTCTGTGTGTGTATGCATAAAGAAAACAGAGCTCCTTTCGTGTGTCCGTGCGCATAGGCACACATCCATGCACACTGATAGAGGCTTAGTTGTACGAAACGTAGCTGTTTTGCAGTTCATTGTTACTGTTTTCCCATTATACATATGTCATCTTATGAGATATGCCACTGCTGCTGCACATGGGTATATTTTCATATGCATACATAAAACATTTCTAGTAAAGTTCGGTGAAATGTAAGACCACAGCTAGCTCTTGCTAAGTAAGGGCTAGGGATGATTCTTTGGTGAGCCTTGCCTGGGATTTGCTGAATAAAGGCAGGTTGGTCATTTCACTCTTTCTACCATGTAGTAACTCTCTAAACAAACACCACCAGACCCAAATATTTGCAGCCTTACTTCCTTTCAGAGAGAAAGCTAAATAAATTAACTTCCTTCTGGTACCTGAACAAAGGTGTTCCACTTTTTTTTTTTTTAGTGTAATAACACCTGTGGCAACACTGCTAAAAGCATACTCAAATGTTGGCTTGTTGAGATCGCTCGGTTGTGCATTTGTGCATGTTTCAGGGCCGTAGCAGCGTTCATGCCTTCTCACAGTCACATTTGAACAGCTCTTCCATCCCATAAGACCCATGCAGGGCAAATCTCTCAGGACAGCATTCATGGGGATGCGTTCACAGTGCACAGAATGCCCTTGCGGTGGAAGCAGAGGCTGACTAATGTGCTTTCTTGGCCCGTTGAAGACACTCCTGCTTCTCTCCAGCTCTAGCCAAATTCATATCAGGCAGGCCAAAACAAACAATAAACATTTCTCGCAGAGTTTATTTTAGTCCGAGTCAGATAATCTGCTGTGAGTTTGACTTAGGACTGCTTCCTTGCCATGAGGAGAAGCTGCATGCTATTTTTCTAGGTTTTTGCCTATTCTGTAGAATCCAAGGCTAGAACAAAATGAAACTAAACATGGAATCTGTAAGAATCCAAGCAGTTTTTCTTTAACAGTATCAAAGCTGTCTGACTTAGACCTGGAGTGGGTAGAAAACCTCTGGAGGCCCATAGGAGTGTCTCCTCTGTACTTGTGTCACAAAAACAGCGTATAGGGTTTCAGGCTTAGAAACCTGGGGGCACTGCTTGGCCCCATCTGGGAAATCCTTGGGAGTAGTGGGGACCTCTTGACTCAGAAAATGGGAGATCTTGTGTATCAGAGCATCAGTGGAGGCGAGAGGCCACTGGGACCAGCAGAGCAGAGGGTTGCAGTAAGCACAGTCCGAGTCAAGATGAGTTAGAGTTGGGCAGTGAGCAGAAAGGGCATCGTCATGTCTCATACTGATCATTGTGCCTTTTGTGAGCATCAAATGCTGAGAGCGAGCCCATCTGGAAAGTGTGTTCTGGGGAGATAAGGCCAGTAGCCTTGCAAATTTTTTTCAGCTTTGCTCTCATGCACGTAAGCTTGTTCTTTGTCGTGGGCAGAGGTAATTGTTGAGGGTGCTGGGGACTTGTTGGCGATCTGCTCTTCTTGTCTTACAGCCTCTGGCCAAAGGAGCATTTCTCCGGGGAACAGGATTAAATCTGGCAACAGGACGTTTCACAGCACCTGTGTCTGGCATCTACCAGTTTTCAGCCAACGTCCACATTGGTGAGTTTTGTCCACAGAAGCCTTTTCTATACTGCTTGAGAGGCGCGGGAAGGAGTCCTGGAGAACTCGCATGTGCGATGGCAGCGCTTTGCAGTGAGCTCTCCCTTTGGTTCCAGGACCCAAACCCCTCTCCTTAGAGCTGGGTACTTTCTCAGGCTGACAGCCACAGCAGGCTGCTCTGTGCAAACCAAACAAATCAACACTCCTTATGCAGGATGGGTTTAGGGACCAAATATATTAGTGTGTGGAAGTTATGGCTTCCGTAAAAAGACTTTAGAAGAAATGAACATGATGATGTAGAACTGCATCAAGGCAGTTTTGACTCTGTTTTGTCACCAGTGCATTCGTTCAATGGTTTTAATCATTCAGTGGTGAAGTATTTTAGAATTCAACATCAGAAGGGTGCTTTCCTAAGAAGTCTCAAGGTTACTGGTGTCTCTGTGAAGCCAAACACCAGCAACTGGTTGTCTGCTATGTTGTGAAAGTGTTTGTATTTCTTCCACTGCTTTCCCCAGACCACAGTGAATTGAAGAGTAAAGTCCAACTCCGAGCCAGAGATAACGTCCGAGTGTTGATCTGCATTGAATCTCTGTGCCACCGATACACGTGAGTTACTGCAGTGCTGTCCTGGCAATTTTTTTTCTCAGATGTGCCAGTGTTTCAAGTACCCATTAGTAACTAGGGTAAGAGGGAGCTGTGCACCCACTGACCTGATGGCAAGTCAAAGAACTTGCTGAAATGAAAGCAATGATTTTCTTAATGAAATCAGTAATTCCATCAAGAACAGGACTCATGCCCTCAGCCCTTGGATTCCCCATGAACAGAGACTTGTCACATACAGCCCAGGCAGGTTTATTGGGACGTTTAGAGAGTAACTTGCCATCTGAAGAATTTATAGCTACGTTCTCCAAAGAACACTAACAGTAAAAACGTTTTTTTCTTAGACAGATGTTTCTTAGACCTAGATGTTAATTCTTTAGATAAAGCTCTCTGATGTCTGACTCAGAGTTTTCATCGGTTGTCCAGGGTCACAGTTTATGATTGATTGTCCTGCAAGGCTGTCCTGAGTTGACTGAGCTGGACAGCAGTGGGAGGAAAGCAGGACCGGCACTGAGTGAGAGACATCTCTCTCATATGGTGGGTGAGAGTGTGACTGGTCTGTGGCATGGCAGGAAGATGGGTGGAGGGATGGGAACCTGTCTGGACAGACATGCTGCTGGCACAGGCTGAGCAGCTACCCGTGCTTGTGGAATTTCCTGGGGATGTCGGCATACGCAGTCATTCATTTGAGGGAGCTGAAAGAGCCCTGAGGGCTTTCGGCTGAGGGAGATGGAAACTCAGAAGCGAGGAGACAGTTGGAGTAGAAGAGATTAATGGTGGGAAGTTCCCACTCAAGTTAGGCTTTTGGCAGGATATGACACACAGACTGAGCTCTTCAATCAAGGTGGTGCCAAGTGGCTTGCTCTCTCTGGGCCAAATTGCCCCTACCTTTTATGCATATTATTTCCTTGCAAGGGGGCTGGAAGCAGCACGTTTGCACTTGCTAGGTTTCATCACTACCTCTTGATGGAAAAAAGGGAGGAAAGGGGTTGGCTTTCTTGGGAAAACAACTCCATCTGCTACCACTGGCCAGGCAGACTTCAGAAGAACCAGCCAGGCATGGAGCTGTGCGCTTTTATATTGTTGTGGAACTGAGCTTATGTAGGTTGTCCTGATTATTGATGTCTTGGGTGTCTCCTTCCACCCTGAATCCTGTACAAAGGAGCAGAGTTCCGTAAACAGAGGATGCCACAGAGAGCAGCTGTCCTACATCTTGCTACTGCAAGGAATATGATGGTTGTAGAACATGATTTTAGAAAAGAACAGTGCTTGAGAGGTGATCGGGAGCTCTCCCTTGAATTTTAACTGAATAACTTTTTTTTTTTTTTTTGGCCTGTATGTGATCCTTGATCGAAATGTCCCCTTATAACAGCTTGCAGCTGCAGAATATGTTCCTTCTTTACATATATTGTTAAGGTGAAATAGGTCTTTCATGCCTTGAAAAGGAATGACCTGTTATTGGCAGAATGCATATAGCTAGCTCTTCGCAGAATAACGAATATAAACTATTGTGGTGGTCAACAAACTGGGATAACTGGTATGCAGATAAATCTAAAGGGTGTGTTTAGCACCTGTTCAAGGCTGGGGGATAGAGACTACAGGACCTTGAGAAAAGCGTCTGTGAGAGAGGGTAGCTCCCAGTTCCTGTCTCCAGGTCTTTAACCTGTTTATTTTTCTTTTGCTGCTGTTTAGGTCTTTGGAAGTCATCGCTGGTCTGGAAAGCAACAGCAAAATCTTCACTGTCTATGTCCATGGCTTACTGCAGCTGCAGGTAAGCCCGTGCAGGCTGGGAATCACTGGGTTAGTTTGCTTGGCAGGATGTGGAGTTATTTATTGGCAAGGCTGAATGCTCATCAGGAGGTGGGGAAGTTGTTATTAACCTTCTTTCTAAGGTTAATGAAGTTAAATGCCTTACCTGGGGTGAATAGAGAGAATCTATGGCAGGAACAGGAACAAAAGCTAGACTTGTGTTGCACATTCTGATCTTAAGCCACACAAGTAACCTGTCTAAGAAATGACAGGAAATATTTTTCTTTCTCAAATCTCTCCTTGTATTGTCAAGATGGCAACTGTATTTCCCGGTTCATAGAAGGGAACCTGAAGCACAGATGGCCACTTGACTAGTCACCCAAAAAGATGCTAGTGCAGTAGGGATCCAGTTAAGTAATAAAG